CGACCTGCGGGAGGAACCGGGCGCCGCGGCACGGCGCCACGGGGGAGTCGCCCTGTCCCGCGCCTGGGTGGACAGAATCTGAGCGGCCCTCCGAGGCAGCGGGGGCAGACGGGGCGCTGCCACCTACTGAGGTCGGTGGGCCTCGGGGTGGGGTCCTGGATCCTCCCCGCGTGCACCCTGGCTTCGTGCCCCCCTCCTCCAGGAGGATCCCCAAGAACCCCTCCCTCCGCAGCCGCCCCTGGGGCGTGGGCAAGGGTCGAAGAGCTGCAGGCTTGGTCTCTGTTCAGTGACCTCCGCCGAACGTAGCACCTCTGCTCCATCATCTCACCTTCCCAGCGCGCTCACTGGTGGCAGAGGAGATGCCTCCTCAGAAATCAAAATGGGGTGGGGTGCAGGTGTTCACTTGGGAGGCTTCCGCCCTGGCCGGCTAGGTGGACGAAAGAAAGAAAAGCATTTATTCCGCCTCCACACACACCAAGTGCCATCGGCAGCTTTGGTGGACACCTCATTCCCCTCCCAGCCGCAGCTCCGTGAATGTCATCATGCCATTTTAGAGACAGGGAATAGGTCTTATGGCACTGGGATCTAGAACCGGGGCCGGGCTCCCTGAGCCCCCTCCTAGTCCAGGGCAGTGGGGAAGCTGTCCCCTGGGAGGCACCTGCAGCCCCTCTGGGGCAGGAAATTAGAGGTTGCGGGAGTTTCCGGCAGCAACGGGGACCCCGCTCCTGCCTTCCTCCTGCCCTGTCGGCCCCGAGCACGGTCCTCACCAGTCCTGGGGCCAGTATCGAGCTGCAGGTTAGAACGTTGCAACACCCACCCTGCACACCACACAGCAGGCCAGGCTCTTGGAAGACACTCCAGGAGACCAGACAGGGCCCTTGAGAGCTGTTGGGTGAGGTTTAAGCTGGAGCTTAAGCCTCAAAGCTGAAGATCAGGCTGAGGTGCCCTGGAGGTCGGCCTTGCCTGGAGTCACGCAGTGAAGGAAAGGGCAGGTTGTGAAAAATACAAGTCCTCCCCACTGGCACTGGGGAGCAGCTGTGCACCCATCTTCCTGATGAGGGAAACTGAGACTCAGAAACACTAGCGGAAGAGTGGACGGGGAGTTCTGTTCATCTGGAAACCCACGCCTGCCACCCCCCTGTAGTCAGGCCATCGTAATGGCCACGTGTGGGGCTGGCCAGAGGCAGGCACTTCAAACAAAGGTCCCCCAAACGGCAGTGTCCCCCTTGCCCACGGCTACCTAGGCATCGGGAGAACCTGTCCCAAGAGCCCTCTACTCTGGGAGCCAGTTATTCCAAGTCCTGGGCAGGGAAGCTCTGCTGCCAGTGGGACGTCACGCCTGCCTAGGGTTGTGCTTCCTGCTGACCTGGCTCCCAGCCATTTCCTGGCAGGGAGATCCTGCGCAAGGCCCGTGACCTCTCTGTGTGCCTCCATTTCCTCTTCTTTAAAGCGGGGCAATGACCGTGCCTCCGTCAGAGGGCGGCCGTGAGATCGCGGGAGCCCGTGCGTGAAAGCGCTCGGCCCTGTGATGTTGGCTGTGATGCCGGCCAGTGGAATTCCAGGGCAAGCGGGGAGCATAGTGCTGTGCTCGCTGGCATTGCTGGAAGGAGTTCTAGCCTGCACGTGGACCAAAATGAGTTCCCGCTTGGTTGATTCCATGCTGCGGGCAGAAGTGGAGTGGCTTCTCCAGCACATCCCTGTCTTGCTGTGTCTTGCCTCCTCGTTCCCCCTCTGATGAAGCTTGGACCTCGACCCCTACCCTTGGTGGCGACAGCCCACAAGACCCTGGGCTGCTCACATTTTGCCCTCCTCTTGACTAGCACAGACTGGCTCTGCCTTTGGGCTCCATTCCCCCAGGGGCCAGCTCTGCCTCGTGCTCCTCAGACTCCCCCACTCAGAGTTTTCAGCACCCAAATTCTGGAGGGGGCCGTTCCCGAGACAGAAGATCCTTGGAGCCACTCAGGTCTGGGCCTCGGCTTTCAGGCTGCCTGCACCCAGCCCAGAGGCCACTAGGACCCTGAGAAGTGGGTTGAAAAGCAGCAGGTCAGAGGCCACCTCACACTCACTCAGAAGATCAAAAACATGGGCAGCAACAAGTGCTGGTGAGGACGTGAAGGACCTGGGCCGGCACGCTGCTGGTGGGAATGAAAAACGGTGCAGCCGCTGTAGGAAACAGTATGTTACATGCAGAATTAGCACATGACCCAGCAATTCCACTCCTGGGTATGGTCTCCAAAGAGATGAAAACAGATGTTCAAACAAAAGCTTGCACATGGCTGTTCACAGCAGCAGTACTCACTTCAGCTGAAAGGTGGAAACAACCCAAATGTCCACAGCAGATAAAATGGATAAACAAAATGTGGTCCATTGATACAGCAGAACTCCGTTCAACCGTAAAAGGGAACAGAGTGCTGACACGTGCGACACATGGGGGAACCTGAAAACACACGGCTAAGTGAAATGCGCCGGACGTAGAGGGCCACATACCCTAGGATTGCATGTGCATGAAATACCCAGAGCAGGCATGTCTGCAGCGAGAGGAAGCAGCTTGCTGGTTGCCAAGGGACAGGGAGGAACAGAGAATGATGGCTAATGGGTACAGGGTTTCTTTTGGAGGTGATGAACATTCTAAGATTGATGGTGATGATGGTTGGGCAACATTGTGAATGTACTGTTATAGAACTGTACAAGTTAAAGTGGTTTTATATTATGAATTTTACGTAAAAAACCCC